TTGAACCTTAAGTATAAACAATAGTAGTGCTATTAATTTTAGAAATTATATTATCTTAATTTTATATTTTAGTTTAGTCTAAAATCAATGGTAGTATATACATATTTAAATGTTTAAAAATAAATTTATAATATAATGTATCCAATTACCAGTTTACATACCTATTTCATTAAAGATAATATGTATTAATGACATGAAAAAAATCTTTTTTTACCTTTAAATAAGTCTTATAAGTTATGAGTCTTAAATAAATTTCAATAAAAAAATATTCATAAAAACCCTTTAATATACGATATTATTGTATTATTATAGAATATTATAGATATTTTTCTTCTCTCTTATTTTTTTTTTCGTGATTTTTCTGTAATTTATTTATTTGGTCATGTTTTAATATACACGATTTATTTGTTATGTTGCTCTAACGGAAAATTATAAACTAATGAATAAAAAAGTTTATTTTTTAAATACATGCAAAAAAATTATATTTATTAAAAATATAAAAAAAAAATTACACTTATTATACCTACTTAGTTTCCATGAAAATTATTTTAATTCCTCAATTACTCATCTATAAATCACTAATCAAACTACATAGTCTGAATGTATGGTATGTAACTATGGAGTAATTAAAAAAAAAAACAAACCTAAATAAAATTCAAACTTTTTAAAATAAAAAATTTATTAATACATTTTATGCCTCGAACTAGAATTTCCATTCCGATTTTAAAATGAAATAAGTACACGAAGAAGCTAAATTCACTATCAACGCTTTCATAACCAACTTATCTCCAACAGTAACCCATTAATACAAAATCTCGCAGTTCCTACTATTTCTAGGAACCCACCCAGACTTTTGAAAAGAAAATTGTATCGTTACTTTCCCTTTAACCTTTCCTTCTAAACGAGGATAGGTACTTTACGTGTGATTGCTCACACCAAAGTATATTCTGTATATATTTTATTATTATTATTAATTGTGTATGTGATTAATAAAATTAATAAATATGTTTTCTGTTCTAATCACATAGTCTAATTGTACCTCTAAGATATAGATTATTTATTTCAAATAAAGAAAAAAAATTAATACTGATTAAAATATACAGATAGCCTAAAATAAAAATGTAATAATTTAGTAAGTATTCATCAATGATAAAGATATAAATTAATACAAATTATTTAATTGATTTTTATTTAGTGATAAACTAATAAATAATAACACTGATAATATTTTTTAATGTTTAACCCTATAACAAACACTATATTCAAAGTTAGCCAAGAAATAACACGTTAAATAATAAAATTACTTGTGTTATTTATATACAATTCCATATATTCTAAATTTAAATACAGTTATTTGCAATTTCACACTAATTTTTTGGTTAAATTAAAGTTCACTAGTAATTATATAAAATTACAAAAAATATAAAATTTATAAACATGGGTTTTTTTCAAAAGTTAAATTACTCCAATAATTTTGAATGGAAGGTTTTACATAATTATTCGAGGGCCATATGAAAATTGAAAAAATTGTTAGTGATTTAATGATTTACAAATAAGCTATTCTATACATAATAGTAGCAGTGGTGGATTGTAAACAACCATTAAAAGTTACCGTATTCGATTAAGAAAAATATTAATCTTCATCCTTTAAGTGACCAACTGCATGAAACATTTTTTTTGAAAAAAAAAAACACGTAATATAATATACTTTTTAATTAGAATATTCTTACTGTGAAAATCCTCCTCATAACTAATTGATTTGTAAATTAAAATACAGCTATTTTTCAAACATACATACATGTTGATTAAATTTATAATTTTTTGGATGCTTTTATTGTATACTAAGTACCTAATTTGTTAAATTAATCAAATGACTACAAGTCTCATATCATGATATAAATTGTAGCTTATATTTAGGCTCTTAATATTATCTTATGTATCAATGCATTATTTTATGTTCTTTTATCATAGGCCATTACCAACTTTCATGTATGAAGGATATTTCAATTTATAATGCAATGAAGGTTAGTATTATTACAATTGTCTGAGACAATTTAAAAGAATTGATGAGTATGAACTATGAAAGATTTACCCATTAGAATATCGGTAATTTATTAGTTTTTACATTTATTTATTGTGTATAAGTCTACGAATTCCCATTATTATTGTGTATTTGTGTCTAATCTGTCTTTTCCATTTGTCTTTAGCTATTTCAACTCAATGCTGATGTGGTAAACAATATCAATAAAAAGATATAAATGACAATGACTGCATAAATTAATTAATCAGATATAAATTATTTTTTATTTATACTGGTTAGTTCATTCATTTGGTTTATTATTATTTGTTGATGATTGTTATATAACATTTATAAATTTAGTTGTAATTATTTTAAGTTTTTAGATTATTTTTTTTTTTTTAACATAGTAAGTTTTGAGTTTTGAAATAACTTAGATTTTTATACGTTATAATTTAATTTCTATATTGTACTAATTTTAGTTTTATCTTAAATCATGTATTAGAAATTAGAGTAACCCTGTGGTATAACGGCGCACTTTTTATTTATTTAACAGCAATTATGTTGTAGTATACACGTTTTTGACATACTGTTATGTTGTTATCTTACAATACATATACTGTAAATTGCAATTTTCGAGTCAAAAGTTGATTTTACCAAAACAAATACCATAAATTCTAAACAATTAAAAATTTTAACAAATGCGTCTTGTTACCTAATGGCTGAGATAAAAGTGCGCACCTAGTGGGGTAAAAATGTGTATACTAAATTAATTCGTAAAAATCTATTTTATTTATCTAAAAAAAAATATGATTTAATTTATTGTTAATGAATTAAATAAATTTAGATAGAATAAATAAAATGAAAACAACTTTTTAGTTTAGGAATAGCATAATATTATCACCATTAAAAAATAAAACTATAACAATAACAACTTAATATATTATGCAGAAAATAAACAACTATCAAGTAACTAAAGTAAATATCTTGTTTAAAAAAAAATTAATTAAATAATGTAAATAGATATTCATTTTGATGCTATAAAAATAAAATGTTTTTAAATGTATACTAATCAGATAAGAAATACTGCTAACTTTTGCCCCATATTCAATAAATAATTTTACCCCAATATGATTTTTGTGTAAATAAACTTGTAGCAAATTCAATTGTTATCATATCAATATCTTACTAGTATTGACGTATATTTAATACTTTTACTATATGAAAATAAATAAAATTAACACCTAACGTGTCGTTAATTAGTATTTATTACTATACTTTTATTCTACTCAAATTTAACATTAAATCAATGAAATTAATACTTTAATCTCAAATTGATGTTAAAACTTCACCAACTGTCGAAAAAAATATTTTATCGTGTCTGACTATGATAATAAAATCATAATAACAAAATAGCTTAACTAGATGGTAAATATTAAATTATTTATACATAATAGTTAATTTTGTTCTATGCGCCATTATACCCTAGGTTACTCTACATATTAATTGTAGCATATTAAATGTTTACGCTGATATAATGAGTTAAGATTGTAATACTTTAAATATTTTAATTGAGATGTTATTAATTACAAGTCTAATAACTTATTTCATCATAAAATTTTCACAAAACTATATTTTCAATTATTTTAATTCCTTCAATAATTATAAATAGGTTTTAAAATAACTTTTATGATATAAAATATTTTATTTATATTTAAAATAAAAATAAATAATGCCTAATTTAATAAGCATTTTGAAATCAGTGTTAAATTTAATAAAATAAGTAAATAGGTTATATCAGAAAAAAGTATGACATTGTAGTAATTTTTTTCTTTTTGTCTGGCAGTAAATATTAAAATTATGACAAAATAATGACACATCCACAATACGTGTTGTTGTGTTATCTTTATCATATAGGTACGTTTAAAACATACGTAACAAATATGCATTCAGTTTCAGTAGTTCTTATTTTGTATTACTAGTAAGTAGTAATAATATTAGAGTGAAATTTATTTTTATCAAGTTTGAAAGCAAAACTTAATCTGTTTTTTCAATATTTTAATTTATAAAAAAAAATATTTTAACAGTAGCGTCATTTAATTGATTTTTAATAAAGATTCGCATATTTTTATACAGTGAAAAAACTATCTAGAATTTATCCATTTTTCAAGATAATCAATTTAAAAAATTGGGCCAAATCACAATAATAATTGTATTATTATAATTAATAGTATAGACTATAGGCTTAATAAAGATATGTACAATTTTTTTTCAATTTGGAATTTAACATATTTAAAGTCTATCGTTTGTTTGAAAAGACAATTCAGACAACACAAACGGGTGTTAGTTAAAATAATGCTGTTAACACGACACACATACACAATTCTCTAATGAATTTTCGCAGATTTTAACAGATCATAGAACGTTACGATGACATTTTGTAAATATAATATCAATTATTAAAAGGAAAGATATTTCATCTAACTAATTCTTCATTCTACAAACTTTAAAAGTAAGACAAATATAAGGTATCTACATAAGAGTTTTTTTAAGAAACAATAATATTGTTAATATTACAACTTATTCACATGGATAGATGGACACGTATACGTAATAATAGATACTATAATGTATGCTAATATGAGGTATTCTAGTTATTATCCATATAATGTATACACAATTTAGAACCTGATTTATGTTATTATGATTTTTGTTGACACTTAAATAAGTTTACCTAAATATTTTATTGGAAATTGAATACAAAATATACACCATAAAACCTCGTTTGACAGCCAAAATTATAATACCTAATACCTAATATAAATAATAAATTACCTTAATAGTTTATTTTGTCTGCAACCCTCTTATTATCTAAATACCTCAAATAATATTAGTCGTTACTTTTTTGTTAAACTGGATTTTTTGAAATAAACCATTTTTATTTGAATGTTCTTTAAATCAAGAAGTCGTCAAAACGAATAAAATGACATTCATTGAAAATAAAAATTACCATCGAAAATTTTATAAAACACTTATGACTTTGGCATTTTCTTTGAACACTAGTCAATATCATTGTATTTCAAAATGTATATTATACTTCTACATTTTTGATTGGATGGTATTTGTGAGTAATATAATATATTGTGTTATACTATTTTTATTCTTATCAATACAATAACTTATGTATACGTTTTATTAAAAAACGTTTAGACCACATTAGATTCTATGTGAAGAAATTAATGTATTAAATTGTGTAATGTAAGTTTTTTCATTTTTGTATCTATCGTCAACGTTTGGAGCAGAAAAAAATGTTTTCAATAAAATACAAATTATTAAATACATTACCGTTTTGTGTAAAAATGTTGGTTTTATATTAATTCGTTTTTTTTTTTTGGAGTTATTTTGAAAAGTATTTTGATGTTTTTAATTTTGATCTTCTTAAAATACCAACTAAATATAATTTGCAAGTAAAAATTATCCTTGAAGTTGAAAATCTAAACACTTTTAATATCCCAAATAGTAATAAGACACAAAAATCAATATATTCTGCTCAGAATTTTAAAATATTATATTGTGTTATTTAAATAATGTAAGTATATAAAATAAAATAATTTCAAAAAGTTCATTTGAGATTTATAAAGTGTTATTTAACAGAACCACAATAATATTTATATCTCATAATACAATATTATGATTAATAAAATTATGCATTATGTTCTGAAAATAAAATATAATACATCTTAATTTTAATGACTTATAAAGGTTGTTTATTTTGTATGAATTATCAGGTATTTTTGGCTGCAGGATGCGTTTTATTATATGAAAAGCCAGATATGTCTTTTGGTATGGAGTTAATTCAATACATGATAGTTGGAGTGCTTTACACTTTGATTTTTTTAGTATTCATAATAAAAAAAGATGCCATTGTGTCGAACTACAATTTTATACAAACCAAATTTATCCACTGGTCTAACAAAAGATTATTGCATCCAAACATAGCTTATAAAAAAAACATAAGAACTGTTAAACGCTTGATCATACCTTTAGTAATACTATCATTATCTATTGCATTTGGACCTTTAGTATCAACCATAAACGATATTGGTAAACTGCCATTGAATAGCCGAACCCATTTCGTTTTGTTTTGGCCAAAGGTAAGTTAGTATAAATAATGACTTTATGACTAATGATTAAATATTTTTAATTCAAAACTGTTTAATCAACTAAATCCGTTATACATAAAAAATTTATTGACAATAACATCATCATTCATTATTATGTACAAGTAGGTTTCCATATTTTTACGCTTTCCCATAAAGGACACACGAAAATTCGGAAAAAAATAGAAACGTATGGTAAACCATCATAAATTTTAATATTAATTAAATACGTGTCATACTGAATTTCAACTAGTTATTATTAAGAATTAATTTGGGTATATTAGTCTTGTCTTTGTTATATTAACATTATATTAGTGAACATATTTTATTGTTATAAATTTGTAAAATCTTTCAATGACAACATATTTATTTTACTATTAGTGCATAATATTTAATATTGAATATTGATCATGTTTGTATTATTTTTTCAAATAATTCTCAAGTTTTGAATAGTATTAATATTTATTATACGAGATTAGATTGTATAATATACAATATAATAAATTAAATAATAACCAATATGCGTAGGTACCTATGTGACTTTTTATTCATTATATTAATATTTTATGTGTATCTATAAATATTTTTTATTTCTAGATTGTCGATACTAATAAAATTAGTACATATGGAATCATTTATACGGTTCAAATCGTATTAACTGTTATTTTATACATTTCAACTTTATCATTCAATTTGGGTTTTATGGTATTTTTGAACGAATTGACAAACCAGTTTGAAATTTTATTAGATGGAATTGACAATGCATTTAAATTTAAGAGAGATAAACAATTTCAATTGTTTTTTATTGATTGTATACGTCACCATCAAATAATTATTAAGTGAGTAGTAATAAAATATAATATATTTATTTTAAATCGCAATCAAGTTTTCAAATACTTAAGTATACACGAGTATAATATATGAAATTTATTAGAAATAAATTCACGGTAATTTATTTTAATGTATTATTGAAAAATATATCTATTTTATTTTTTCATATTATTCAATATGAAGTTAATATAATTATATGTTATTTTGATTTATATAAGCAATAAGATGAGCATCAATGTGATTATAATAAGTTAAATTCATTTTTTGAAATTAATTTAGTTTATTTAACTTAATTTGTACATATAGTAGTTAGGTATTAAGTAATAACTTATTTAGAAATGAATAGCGCATAATATTTATAGATTAGGTATTTTTACTGGTACTATTCACAATCACTAGAAAATTAATATACATACTCTCGTCTTCATTAATATAGGTCATAGGCATACCAAATATTTACAAAATATTGATAACAATTCAATTTTTGCAATAAATCAAATTTTTTAGTGATATTAATGAACAATGGTTTAATTGTATGCATTTTTTCCAAGATAAAATTGTTTCAAAAATGAATAATTGTATGTATAATACTTATTAGGTTTGTCTTATTATCAATAAATACTTAAATATTTTATTTTATAAGAAAAAAGTATTTAAAAAACGGTTTTAAACAAATAGTGTGATAAATTGTTTTTAATAACATATAATGTTTAACGGTCACAAATTTTCAACGCTTATTGAACTAAATAAGTAATAATTTAATAAATATATCAATTATAGGAGTATTATTATATATTAATACTAAAAATACAAGGACTACATATCATTATAAAATTAATTAATACGCATACATACATCTTACTTTCGTTCACTTGGTGCTCAGATTTTAGTTTATAATTTTAAACTAATAATATTCTTAAGCTTGAAAACATAATTTTATAACTTATTATGTTTTAGATTTTTAGATGATTTAAAGTCATACTTCAAGTGGATTGTTCTTATTGAAATAATCATAGTTCAAGTAGTGTTGGCCATCCTTATTTATAATTTAACAAAAGTATAATACCTGATAATTTATTATTTAAATTCAATTTTTTATTATATGAACGATATAACTGTATATTTATTATAAAATAATAATATTATCATGTATTTTTAATAGGTAACTGCTTCCCTTGGATATAAGGTAAAAATTGTTGGTTCGTTATTATTTAATATACTCCCAATTTGTTTTCACTGTCATATCGGAGAAGTCATACTAAGCCTGGTAAAATAAATGTTTAATATTATTTTAATAAAATTAAATAATATTCTATAACTTAATATTTCAGAGAAGTCCTATTATCGTGAATTTTCCATGAATTGTATAAACATTATATTGCCCACATTTATTTACAAATTACAAAGTTGATTTTAGATTTTAATTTATACAGTTCATACATTATATAATAGTTGGCTTTAAAACTTTTCAATTTGTTGTATATATTTGTTGATTCAATTAAAATTTGATTGTTTTATATCTTAATTCAAAATTTGTGATGTATAGAATCGCTTTTAATAATATAGTCTTAACAAAACGTGTTCCAAAATTTGTTAAAATATACTATGCTTAATTATCAACTCGTATAAATCATAATAATTTGATTATATTATAATCATACGCAACTACATGTACATTATACAAAATAAAATGTAATAGGTGCACTTATAAATGTTTGCTATATTTTATGTTTACAGCACACGCGTTTGTCTAATCATATTTATAACATGATCTGGTACGATATGCCCAATAAAAACAAACAGCTTATCGTGATTATGTTCCAACGAACTCAACGAGATCTGGCATTAAGTTCAGCTCTGTTTTCGAACGAAAGAGCATCTAGATCGTTGATTTCTAAAGTTATTAAACAAGTGTACACAATTCTAAACGTATTGTTAAAAACATAAATGGTAAATGCGTTGAAATTGTATATAGATACTTAAATAAAAACGGAGCAGTTAGGTATGGGTATTTATATTATCGTATATACTTGTGTATAATTTATAAATGCGTTAAACATATATTCATTAATTTAAGTATCAAGAAAATAGCGGTACACACATGTTGTTATAATACAAATTCTAAAAATTATTTTATTACACGTAGTTTAGTAGTAAATTATAATCATTGTTTTTATTTTAATTATCTGTATTGAAAATCGTTTTCATAAAATATTTATTACAACTTTAAGTTTTAGCCACTATTTATTTATAATTACTATATTTTTACTTGATAGTTGATACCCATACAGTTGACAGTTAATCAAGATATTATGATCATAAGTAGGTATTGGGATGAAATGATTTTGAGTACTATTAAGTATCATTAAGATTTATAGTTCCCTCATTTAAGTCTCGAAGAATGTATTTAAACCCACCTACAAAAGCTATGGATGCAATGATACATCAATATTGTGATCATATGTAACATTAAATTTCAAACCCCTTCCTTCATATATTATGTAACCAAAAAATATACGCATAAATATATCGTGGTTGAAAATTTAAAATTATACTTATTTTACTTCATTGTATTGTAAAATATTATCAAGATCATTATTTTTGATATTCTTCAATCTCTATTAGTTGATTTAAGCATAAAATAATAACAATACCTATATAATAATAACATAGATAATATCAAATAATAATTTATCAAAAAAAAAAAAATCATATTTTTCGTACAATGCTGAAATGTAATTATAAAATAGTTGTTAAGAACGTGGCTGCTTAAAGTAACCTTAACCTCTTGTTAATGTATTTCATTTTTCACTATTTTATCATTTTATGATTATATAAAACTCACACATTGTATGTAAACATTAAATTCTAATCAATTGTTACGTAATTTTCGAACTGTAATAACATTTTCTGTAAGGCTAAATAAATGTTAAAAAAAAATCATGGTTACTTAATTATGTGATTTTTTAAAAATTAATTTAAAGATACATTCGATTAGAATATATAAAATCAAAGCATACCAACTTTTAATATAAATATGTAAACTTCGTTATGACGATTAATTAATAAATCCATTGTATTTATAGTCCATATTTATTGGATTTTAGAAATATAGATTGAATAAGATTATAAATACATAAAAATAAAATACTTAAACGCTTATATATCCATAAAAAATGTATATTTTATTATATCAACCAATATTGTTTTTACATACCTACAAAATAAAATAGAAGACACGGGAAAAAAACCTCTACAACTGGTAAAACAATACAAAAACATAGTGTTCATATTATGACTAGAAAGCTTATATAATATTATAGTTTATAAATACTTAATTACAAAATAATAAAATGTTATTTAAAATTAAATAGCGCATATTATGTTTCTTTGAACGATTTGTAAAATTTAAAGCTATGTGTACTTACCCATTTACTTTGTACCTATTATGTAATATTATTTATTTATTATGGTGGTTTTGTGTTTGCGTTGATATTCAGTGAAAGATCATGTAATTTTATTTATTGTGTAAATATAATAAAATCTTTAAATTATAAAAATATTATATTCTTGAATATTTTCATTAATCTGTTATTTATTAGCTTATGAACAATTTTGCTGGTAAAAAATAAAAAAAAAAAAATAAAAAAATAAAAATAGTGTACTATGTCTACTTCAATTTAACTGTATTTTAATAGCTTTACATTATATTAAATTGAATATGTGTGATATATTATAAAATTATACAATGAAAATATTAAATGAATGTATGTTATAAGTTTTTTGTATTATGTACTACCAATTTCTATCAAAATAAAAAAAAATATACATCTATAATATACTATTAATTAAAAAAAAAATGTTTAGTTAACGATTTAAAATTACCTAAAAGTTAAACTTTGGTTAATTATAACATTGTTTATTTTTAACAAAATTTTGTATCATATATAGGTATCCCTCGAATATATATTTTATTAATTTTTCACAACTTATTACTCCATTTTTAATCCATGATAGAGAAACGTTTTGTTTACCTAGGACTTAAGTGTATCCTAATATAAGACAATGAAAATACTCATTAGACTGTCACAAACCATAGGCTCTTATTAAAGTGGTCCAGTATGTAATAATTGTTACAAGTGTTTGTATTTTGTCTTGTATAAAAACGGTAATTATATCGAACAGAATAGATGCGTTGTCTATTGTAAATAAAAATATTGGATCATAAGCTTAATTCTTAAGTATTTCTAGGCTTAATAATTGTGATTTATTTAAAAAAAAAAGTTATATTTTACGTGCGTTTGTATCAAAACAGTTAAAAATATGAAGTTTATCTGAAAATGTGTATCTTAGTATTCTTTTTTATTCACCGAAAACCTCATTTCAGTAAAACTACAAAGTAATCCAACTGAAATATTTAGTGATATACTGATACCTTTTCGCATGAATATAATACTGTATATTTATTTTTAAATAATATATACCACCGGCAACGAAAAAAAAAAAATAATTAACTCAGTTGTTCCAAGATTGCCGTCCAAAGTTAAAATTTCAAATATATAATATTTGCGCATAATGATTTTAACTTGTAAAAATTTAATAAACTCTTATAAAAACAATTTAACCAATAAAAATATATCTTTATATAGGTAACTTTATATTAATTAATGTTTTAACACTTAAAGGAATATTGGCATGTATAAAATATATGTAGTTAGTCATAATATTGTGTATTGACAAATTCGTATTATTATCTTTAATGTTTTCTTACAAATTTGTTATTTAAAAAAATGCAATTAAATTTTTACAAATAACTATGGAAAAATATATGCATAATGCATATTGCATGTAATAGGTTGCTTCATTTAAAATTTATAAACAATACAACTACTGCCTAAAGCCTTATATTATTCTACGTTGTGTGTCATTTAGTTTTTTTTTAAATATAATTTTTCATCATTCTTACGCGTGAAGTCCAATGAGAAACAATAAAAATTTGAATAAAAAACATAACAGTTAACAAAATGAAATTTTACCAAATGCTTATGGCAATAGCTTTCTCGGTGAACATTGGCTATCCATATTATTATATTTTGCGATATATAATTTATTTTGGAATTTTTGGCTATATTTTAACGGTAAGTAATTTTCAATTTTTTCGACTCATGATATAATTAATAAATTTATATTTATTATCATTTAGAAACGTATATTTATCATAATTTTTATATAACTATCAAACATAATATAAATATCATACATTTTAGGCTAATGTATTTTATAGTTAAAATTTATTAAGTTAACTTTTACGCAAAATCCAAATTATATGGTTGTAATTATTATTAAATAAGCGAAAATCTAAAATTTTTCTGGGTATTTTTTAGACAATTTTACTTATTGTTGTTGCTATTAGTAGAAATTAGGTATCAGTATTCATTGACGATAATAAAATATATTCTAATAATTATATTAGTTTTCTATTAAATATACCTATTATGTAATTATCATTTAAATAGATATGTTTACTTTTTTTTTCTTTAGCTTATTATAGCACCACTCTACCTTCTTTGCGAAGAAGATGATATATCCATGAAAGTAGAATTAATCCTTTACATAATGGGTGGTATACTGTATTCATCGCATTTAATAGTAATAGTTTTAAATAAAAAATCCATTGAAGCCACCTACAATATTATACAAACGAGTTTTGTCAACTGGTCGGTAAAAAGAGGGATGGATCCAAAAAGAGCTTATAAAAAGAACATACAATTAATTAAATTTTTTGTGACATCTTGGTTAATTTTTGGAATTTTAATAATGATAAGTCCTTTATTTTCAACAATTGCTGATTGGGGTGAATTGCCCTTAGATCATCGATCACATTGGAATTCGCATTGGCCCATGGTATGTGTATAATATTTATTATGAGTAAAATAATAAACTATAATTTTATATAAAAAGTTAAGTTCATTTAATGCATTATTGTTTAGATGCTTGAATGATATTAAGTCATTTGCAATGCGATGTAGTTATTTTTCAATAATCTCTATAATATTTTAAAAAACTATCTATATAAGTAGTTTAATATAATATTATTATGTAAAGTTTTTCAAGGTAAATAACTTATATATGTATGGATTTATCTATTTGCTGCAAACAATAGTCTTTACATTTGTAATGATTGCAAGCCTAGCAATGAAGAGTGGATTTATTATGTTATTAACCGAATTATATTATCAATTTGAAAATTTATTATTTGGTTTGGAACATGCATTCAATCATAGAATAGAACGAAAATTTAAAATTCTATTTCGCGAATGCGTTCAACATCACCAATTAATAATCAAGTAATTACGTTTTTTTATACTTTAAGTTGGATATTCATAGAATAATAAAATTTGTTATATATTTTAATAATATAAAAATATTGTATAATCGTATTGACGGGGATAAATTGGTTGTTTGAACATAAAATAACGTCACTATTTGAAATTTTGAACTTCAATCATTGATAAAAATGGAAATAGATTTATGCCAAATATTTTATTTCATGATTTATAGTAACAAAAATCTATGAATAATCTTTTATTTAATTTTCAAACTTAGGTGTTAAAATTTTAACTATGTATTTTTGATATTTTTTATTATTGAAGTAGAAACAATTTATGAAAAGTAATTTTGTATTAAAATGTTCAATTATTTTACTAATAATAATATAAAAATTTTATCTACTAAAAATAGAAAAAAAACTAAATATTTCGAAAATATCTATAAATATCACTGTATAGCTCAAAATGACAAAATGTACCAAAATATTTTGAAAATTATATTACGTTTAAAACACACTAATGTGTTTCATGTCTTTATACTTATTTTTTTTTTGTTATAACTAAACAGATTTTACGTAAGACTGACCGTCTTTTATTTGTTTATTTTTCTTTTCTTTTTAAAAATACCAAAAATCTTTATCAAAAAATATCAAATA